ATAGGATACTGATAATACTTGATTTGTTATTACAGAAAGATGTCTTAAAGGCAGTCAAGTCGATTAAAAAATCAAATGAAGATAAAAATGTACATAAATCTGAAGTCAAAACCACGCCGGAGAGTGCAAAGAAAAAAAGGAATAATAAAAAAGATAGCCGAAACGATTTATGTAGCTTGTCTATTGAAACGTCTTCACAACAACAGGACACATGATTTGATATTCATATTAGTCTAATTATGATCAGAGAGCAATATATAAGTGAAAAATAAAGTATAACCACCTCAAAATTAATGTCTATACCGTCCTGAAAAATAATAATTTGCCTTTCGTGCTTTATACTTAACATGTGTCTGCATGTATGCGGTGTAAAGTATTTGTATCAAAAAAATAAAAGTATGAGGTCGAATTTCGCATACATAGTCGCATTTTTCTTTGTATATGTATTTATAGAGTTTATTCGTTGTATGGGTTCCAACTTTGTGTACTACATATGTTCAAGAATTTTTTTTCTTGGCGACGCCCGTCCCACGTGCGTATTAATCATATGATTTTATCGATTTAGCATACATTATCTGTTATATGATTGATGTTTATATTATATTTGAGAATTTTTAAAAAATATTTCTTGGTAAAAGTGATCAGCGTGACAAATTGTCACGCATACATATTTTTTTTATTTGAAATTAAAAGCATTAACTATCAAGAAAAAATATTTTTCGAAACTTATTATCTTACATGTTGGGGAAATAAATATCAGAATTCAATCCAAATAGTAACTGTAAAAGCATAGAAAACTAGGTATGACTCCATTATCTCCACTAATTAATAATTGCAAATCACATTACAAGAATCACGTAAAAATAAAAAATAGCGAGGCCACAGAACCCCCTTCTTTATTTATAAAAATTATTATTGCCAGGATGACAACATAAAATACAATTAAAAAAAATATTAGCACCATAGTGTTAGCATGGCTAAAAAAAATTAACCAGCATGTTCACTGAGAACATCTTTTTTATATTTCAATCGAAATTTAAACTCTCTTAGTACCCATGTATCACACCCCTTATTTCTAATAATGTTATCGAGTCCAAATGATTCTTCATCAAATTTGAAATATAACCTATCTTTTTTTTGAAATGTACTATAATTTATAAAATGGTACAAATAGAATATAAACGTAAGAAAAACAAAATTATATAATGCAAGCCTATAAAACAATAAAAAAAGATCATATAACTTACAAAGAAAGCTTATCATCACCAAGCTCTTGCAATTTTTCAGGACCATCCCCATAAATGTTGATGAATTTTCTACCTACCCAAAAACTTAGACTAACTACAAAAATTAACAATATATATTATTTAATCATATTTATTAACAAAAATAGTAAGAGAATTAATTTATTCACCAACTTTAAATGTAAAAGTTTTAATTAGATTCACTTTCTAGAATTTGACGCAACATAGTAGCTAATATCTTAAAAAAAAATTTATGGGTGGTAATTCAAGTAAAATATATACAAGCAAAAAATAACATTATTGCTAACTTATCTTATGGGTAGAAACTTGCATATTTTTATACCGTTCGTTCGCTAGATCTAAAAACCTGAAATTGCACAATTAGTAATTACGTTACCCTAGCACAATGCCAAATCATACTTAGCAAAGCAAGTCCACTCGGCTATAAGCTCCAAATACTGAATCTGTATTGCTATTTTTTGGAGGAAATAGAACCTCTTTAGATTCGATGATTCTTTGAAGTAGGTTAGATCTTGACGATCTATAAAATTCCAAGTTTCTGCGACATATGAATTTGGATAAAACTACTGATAAATAATGTTATGCTCTTTTCTCTTATAGCTCATTTAAGTCCTATTCATGATTTGTTCTTATCGCGGGATCATATATAATAAGTAAAAAAAAGGCTTTGCTATTCGTAAAGTTGGTTAACAGTTAATAAATTGACATAGAAAAGTAATTATGCATTTGGGTAGCACCACATAAATTTAATGTAGGCTACTAATTATTAAAGCTAGTCAAATTTTTATCACTAATAAACCACTGTTAAAGTACTGTTAACTTCTTAATAAACATATCTAGCAGAATAAGCGAAATATCAAATTATCGAAGGTAATGCAAACCCGTATATACGTAATTTTGTGTGACTTGTATCACGAACTTTATTTCATATGGGACCCCAACTGACAAAGAATTATATTTTTCTCAATAATGCATTTATATATTTACAGGTGTTTATATATTGCAATTGGTAAAAAAATTTAAGAAAAATTGAATCGGGCTATTTCTAATTTTACTATAAATATGTCATTGATTACTAATGCTACATGATCTAATTAATTTAACTATTTTTGTATAATGATAAGGCTTCTTAATTTTTATTCTTTTTATAGTAACTTTACATTGTAGAACAAGGTTATTTTTATTTAACAAAGAAACTATTTTAGTGTAAGATATTCACTATACTTTATTTAATTCAAGTATGGTGTTATTTTTAAACACATAGCTGAGATATGTCTTATTTAGGCTGATAATAATAAGCAATAGCATATAAAAACACAGCATTATCTTACCTTATATGTACACCTCATATGTTTTTGTAGGCCATATTCTTTTCTGATTATATTTCTGCGACATTCTAATACTAAAAATCCTTAAACTGGAATTTTATACTTCAATCCCTTATCTTATTGCAAAATCGCCCCAAAATTTTTGTTGTAGGATTTTTTATATGTACTTACCATATCATCAAATTTAATCAAACGCTTATAAAAACACTAGCTCTATTTTATTTTGCAAAATAATTACCATTTTTCCTAAG